TTTTTTGGATGTGGGAATTGGGAAAAAAAAATGCTTGAAGAGATGGAGAACATGGGGTTTTGATGGCAGATAATAGTGGTAGGAGATGAAGATTAGGAGCGATTTTTTTGGTAAGGATATATCAAAGACTTAATTAATGTTCTAATCACAAATAAGTTGCCCCTACATTCCTTAATAACGGTTGAACTGTTTGTGATTGAAAATCAGGTATATTTGTAAAATTTTAGGGTTGAATTAGCTATTTTATAAATAAAATTAAAATAGGTGTAAAAATGTTATATAAATAAGATATGATTGTATGTGGTGCAAATTCCTCTTTAATTAATACGAATTCAAGTTGGGCATATTTAAGAACCAGGAGCCATGAATTGATGGTGAAAGAGCTCGAGACAAAGCCCAAAAAACAGAGAAAACGATACGGAATATAGAGAGGTAGATGAAGATAGGGAGGATAGGGATTGTGAGAAGGAAAGGGCAAAGGTCAAAGAGAGGGAGAAGATGAAAGATAAGGAAAAACGGCTAGCTAGGTCGTATAGTAGTGATGAAGGTGTCATGGAAGATGAGCAAAAGAGGTGGAAGAGAGAGGATTGTCAGCACGTAGGCGTAGAACAAAGCAGAAAAGCGAGCCGGCATAAGGAAGCTGACCAGGTGAGTTCCCCGAAAAATGGTGATGGTGATTTGGAGCTCAAGAACGAAAAGACCCGAGAAGAGATTTTTTAGGATATGGAAAACCGGAGGATAGGAGGAAAAAAAAAAGAAAAAGTTATTTGGTAAAAACAATCTCTCCTTTTCATTTCAATGAAACAATCTCAAGTTAGAAAATCTCAATTGAGCAGACCAAAAAACAAGCATAGAATCAAATTTTCACAATCAAACTAAATGGGTAAAAGAACAAACACAACATATTAACACGTGCCCACCGTTGGTAGGAGAGTATTATCCTATAAACAGTATGGGTAAAACACATGATAGTATTGAAGCAAAAAGGGTAGAACACTTAATAGTAATGAAGCAAAATGGGTCTTCAAATATATTTGTCTTGAAAAAAAAAAAGCAACTCCCAAACTGAAAAAAAAAAATACCAAGGTACCAAAAAGTTTGAGGGGGGAATATTATAAAGTACATTATTGCAATATTTTTTCCCATCCCATAAGACCTCATAATCTTGTTTTCTCAATCTCCAAAACGCCAAAAACATAACGCAAAAACAAACTTTGCATGTAGTTTTCCTAGAAAACATAAAGAGAATCGAAATTACTGAGACACGCCCAACCACTTCGAGAAGTTCTCAAATTCTGTGTAGTCACTATCGGAGATCATAGTCTTGTACCAGGCCTTGCCAGCAGATTGAATTGAAGCTGCCTCCTCCTACAAAAGAAGCAAGGAGGAAAAAACAAAACAAACGGCCGTAAAATGAATCAGAAGAGTGCAAATGCAAAAACTCAAAATGCAAGTTAGGAATAAATGACCAAAAACGAAATAAAGTGCAACATGCAGTGACCTAATTAGTCACCGTGAAAAGGCATATCTTTCTAATTCAGAGGTTATTATGTTAGATCAATTTATTTGTTTGGCAGACATTCTCTCAGCATATATTACTTCAAAATAGCACAAGCAAACGATTTTGGTAAAAACATATGACTGTTGTCCAACTGTGGTTGGCCTAAAAAAAGCATTTAGTATTCTCAATTTCAATCATAATATATACAAAATTTAGGTGTAGCAATTCGAACTATGCCTATCAGGTATGCCAATCGCCAACCTAGATGTAACTTGCTTCAGCAAATACTTATCACAAGTATATTTGAAGTATGTGCCTATCACAAACATATTTTGTAACTTCCTTCAGCAAATAATCATCACAAGTGAATTTCGGACTTTCAGTACATAGAATGAATCAAACAAAGTCTACAAGTAAATGGTGTATAATACCAATGACAAACAATTTACAACAGAGACCAAGGAACCTTTTTTTAGCATAATGAGGACATGAACAAATCAGCTATAACAACAGCCCGCATAAAAATTATATAAAACAGATAATCCCAACACAAAATTCACAAGATACAGCATAACATAGCTTAAGATTGAGCAGCATAATCACTACAGCAAAGGGAAAAATATGCAACAACGAGAGTACCTTAGTGATCTGCTTCCTCTTCTTGTCAAGCTTCTCCTTTTTAGCCTTAACCCTCTGTGCCTCAGCCAGCAGTGACATCCTCTTAGCAGCCTTAGCATACGGATTGAGCTTCAACATCACATTCAGATTCTTTAACGGGTTCTTCTTCAGGGGAGCCCTCTTGATTTCCTTCTTGATTGGCTTCACCACAGACTGCACCTCATCGGAGTTGATGATCCTGGCCAGGTCAGCATTCACCATCTTAGTCCTGGGCAGCACATACCCCTTCTTCTTCTCAGATGGCTTATCAAAAGTCCCGTAAATCTCATCAAGCTTCTCGAAGGCAGACTTGGTCCAGATGATGAATCTCCCAAGATGGCCTCCGGGCGCAAGCTTGAGGAGGTTCAGGCGGGACACGTGGGCAACCTCCAAGCCAGGGATGTTGCGGAAAGCCTTGACGAGCTTTGCTCCTTCAGTCCCGTACACGACGAGGGGTCCCTTCCTCGAGATGTAGCGACGGTTGCGCATTTTCCCCTTTCCAGGGCGGATCGAGTGACTGTCCTTGGCCTTCTCGGCGTCAGGAAAGGCGCCGACCTGCTTAAGGATCTTGACGGCGGCGTTGGTCTTCTCAACGGCCTCAGCGGAATCGGAGACGACGAGGGGCAGCTCGGGGACCTCCTCGATCCTGTGCCCCCGAGCGTAAACAAGCGAGGGGACAGCGGAGGCGGCGATGGCGGAGACGATGGCGTGGCGCTTCTGGGTGACGTTGACGCGACGGTGCCAGCGGCGCCAGATCCTGGTCGGCGCGAACATCCTCCCGCCGCGGCACATGTTCCCGAAGGCTCCCTGTCCGGCGCGGTGTGTGCCGCCGCCGGGAACGCGGGGGATACGGGAGACGGCGCGGCCGGTGCCCCAGGACTCTGCGGAGGTCTGGTGGCCGGCGCGTCTGGAGACGGCGTAGGGCTGGCGGGCATTGTTGGAGATCTGGCCGTGGACGAACGTGACGATGTCGGGGCGGATGGCGGCCTTCATCACGTCGGGGAGGGGCACGGAGTTGGCGCCGGTGGAGCCTCCGTCGGTGGCCATATCGTTCTCCAGTGGCTGGACGGACACGAGGGGTCGGGCGGCGGCGGCCATTGGGTGATGGTGGGGCGGGAAATGAAGACTCTAGGGTTTGATAGTGTAAAATTTAGGGTTTGCAGAGGGGGGAGAAATTATATAGTGTGGAAAAAGAATGTTTAATTACGGATGTGCCACTGTGGGTTTGGATGGGCTTCGTTTTGTGTGTGTGATTGGGCCATTTGAGAAGCTGGTGTTATTGGGCCTAAATTGGAAGCATATACTCTTGTTGGACAATAACTAACCAATAGTGTCATGCTTTGGTATACACTGGAATTCGAAAATAAATATGCCCACGTTAAAATTTCGTGATATTTCACTTGAATATTCACGGTGTATTATATGTTAATTTTATATCATCTTATTTGATGGGTATATTGACTCATGTCAACTAAAGCATTAAAATTTTGCATTAAAATTTCATAATCTTTTAGTTAAGTATTTATCGAGTATTCTCATATCATATCACTCAGTGGTCATATTGACTCATATACATACTCTCATATCATATCACTCAGTGGTCATATTGACTCATATACATCGTCGGCAGAATGTGAATGATATAATATCTCTTATTGTATGGACAATTATAACTAGTCTTCAATCTCATATAGTTGTTACGAATGATATTATGTCAAACTATAATGTTGATGTGTTATTTTTGTTAAGTTGAATGCATTTGTCGTTCATTTTAAATATTGTTTTTAAACAGTATACCGATTATTATTCGTTTTAAATGGCCCTCAAATTCAGATTAGTATTATTGTTATTATTATTATTATTATTATATCAATGTATTTTGTTATGAATAATTAATTTCTAACATTAATTTTGTACACAATTTATGATATTATGTATTGGTTTTTCTAGAGAAAAAAAGAAACAATTTACAACATTTCTAGTCAATTGATGATATATTTTATAATGGTTGACTCGTAAGACTTTGAAATCAAATGTCTCCATAGAACAAATTAGGTAAGCTCTCACTGGTAGAAACATGGTGGACCATAGATGGTATGCCAAAAGAACTAACATGAACTTATAATTATTGTTCTCCTGTCTCCTATATCTCATGTTTTATAGACTTATTTAAAATTATAGATTTTTTTTTTTAAAAAAAAAAAATCATCTGAATTGTGGAGTGATATTTCTTATGTATATTTTATCTTTGAAAATCAATAAATCTAAAACAATTTCAAACAAACAGACTGAATATCTGATTAATTTTTTTAAGACTTTCGAAATTTCAGATGAACAATTCGATACTGAGTTTTAAAAGGTTTCAAATTAAATGAAACAAATTTTATTTTTTTTTCAAAAGCCCCTATGAAGCCCAAATGAGGTTCCATCCCAAAACCAATTATTGAAAGAAGGAGTAGTCCATTAGACTTATAAGGTGGGTCTATTTTCTATGTATGAACGATGTGGGACAACTCACAAGTGATATTCTAACACGCCCCCTCACTTGTGAGTCCTGATATCATGTCTCTAACCCAGGCACAAAGTGGGCTCTGATATCATGTCTCTAACCCAGACACAAAGTTGGTCGGGCTCTGATATCATATCTCAAACCTGGCTCTGATACCATGTAAGAAACTTGGGGATAAGGAAAGCCCATATGAAGCCCAAATGAAGTTTCATCCCAAAACCAATTAGTGAAAGGAGGAGTAGCCCATTAGACTTATAAGGTTGGTCTATTTTCTATGTATGAACGATGTTGGACAACTCACAAGTGATATTCTAACAAAATCTAAATCAATTGTGTTTTATCTTGCCTGCAACATATGAGACCAATTTGGGTGAAACTTGAAAGATCACTCTTTGTGCTCCCTTTGACCATAATTTGTCTTTTTCAAACATCCTCATCATATGGAAAACAATGTCCATGTGTACATATTGCACTAATATTGGTTCACTGTGTAGATCTTCCAAACACTATAAATTTGAGCTTTCTATCTCTTAAATGTTTAATTTGTACTGCTAATGTATTTTAAGTCTGTTTGAATTTCTTCCCAACAACTCAGGTATATTAGGTTCTTTTGTTCATGTCTTGTCTAATTTATTATCCCAAAAACGAAAATGTTTCTTTTAATTTCCATATGTTACACTTATATTATTAAGTTCTTTTGTTTTTGCCATTGTTTTCCTATCAGCTAATTTCATGGCTGGAGAAGGTAATAGAATTCTCGATAAAGCGGTTGCTCTTCCTCCCAAAAGGGGTCGGATTAAAATTCAAATATTTCATAGTATCTTGAAGATGTTTCGGCTACGAAACGCACGTTGCAAAGAATAAAGGCTCGTTTTTGTTTCGTGCTGAAAGGATAATATGTTCGAGTTCAATTTAACTCTATATGATTCTTGATATAATGTATGAGTTTTAGTACTTAGAATCAATTCTTGATTCTATTGGGAGCCTCTTTAGACTCTTCCATCAGGACATCTGTATTCATCGAATGCAAACTCATTTAAATGAAATTTGGTTCATTCAAACAAACGTGGTATATTCATTAATTCAAGTGAAATATATATGGGCGCCACACTTTTTGTTCAATCTTTTGAATGATATTCAACCGAAAATATAAAGAGTGTGATGTTTTTAAATGATTATTTTAAAATAGTAAATATTATTATATTTATATTTGAATGTAGTAATGAATGTGCTATAGTGCTTAAATGGCGCGGAGATATAGTGGAATGATGACATGGACATAATATAAATGATAGAGATGATGATTGGTGTTTAAGTAGAGATTGAAAGTTCGAGTTTTTTTAGGTGTATGAGTTGTATATCAATGTATATTCATTTGGACTAACCAAATTTGATGTGTGTAACAACTTAACTCATATTTAGATATACAATTCAAAATAAAACTATTTTTTTTTGGCATTTGAATCATCGAGTTGATTGCTTTTATACCTCAAAGTACAATAAAAATGGCCGGGTCAAACCATGTTGACTCGGCCAGGTTAATGTCTGGATTGGTCGGGTCACTCGAGTTTTGGTCGTATTGCTTGTTAGTAGTCAGGATGACCTACCCATACTGTGCTTAGTTTCATGTCGACCCTCTACAAAGGGTCCGGTTACAAAAAATAAAAAATAAAAAATAAAAAATAAAAAATAAAAAAACCACTGATATAATCACACAAAAAAATAATGAAAGCTATTTTGTGTGTTACTGCAATTTCAGATTTTTCCCAAAAATATACAATAATCAAAATAAAATAATATATTAAACTATTTATAAACTTGACATAAAAAAATGCCATTTAAAAATTAATGACAAAAAAAAAAAACCCTCCACACACAAACTATAAAAGTTTAGAGTATTTGTAATTAAAATAAAACTTTCACAAATATAAAAATAAATTACAATTTTAAGGTAAATGGTGTAATTTTATTGTAAAGCTAAGAGTGTGTTTTTATATAAAATTACTCAATTCATTCTCAATTTATACTCAAAATCTAACATAACCATATTATCTTCAATATTATCAATATATTAAATAATATCAATCAATCATTCTTATACATCACATCAACTTTAATTCAATATTCATTCACTCACGTAATTTTAACTAACCATCACATCATACCATCATCTCTTACTTTTATATCAAATCAACTTTAAATATTATTTTAATATAAAATTAAAAATCGTACTAACAACTAATCATATCATTTTTTTTAAAAAAAAAACTCAGTTTGAGTAGATATATTTGTATACAAACACGCTCTAAACTATTCATATCATAAGATGGGGCAAAATTATGATAATGGGTCATTATTTCCATGTCAAAGGTCGAAAAAGGAATCGGGCCTAATCCACCAATGTTGGATTTCGACACTTGCCCAAGCCCAATAGCTCAAATCACAATTTCGAACAAAGCCCAAATTTTGAGCCTCAATGCTACCATCAGCCACACGCTCCACTCTGCCTTGAGCTGAGCTGAATTAGGGCCCCCCACCGTTTCAAATCGGCGGCTGACGGCGGCGCCTCCTCCGATCCGACATCTGAATCCCTACTCTCGTCTCCACCGTTCTTTCTGATCTGTAATGAATTATCCTTAATTTTTACGCTCTTTGTGCGTGTTAATAATTGCGTTTTCTGTTCGCTTTTCCTACTTCATGATTCTTTGTGCTGTCGAGTTATTTTTTGTCTAACAATGGCTGGAGTTATTGCGAGCTTGGATCATGTAATTTCAACTAGGATGTATACTGAGTTGAGATGCCTTTTTTTGTAGCTCAATTGTTTTATCTTCTCTGTATACTGAGTTGAGATGCCTCCTTAACTAGGATGTATACTTAGTTTTTGTAGCTCAATTGTTTTTACCTTCTCTGTATACTGAGTTGAGATGCCTTTTTTGTAGCACAATTGTTTTATCTTCTCTGTATACTGAGTTGAGATGCCTCCTTAACTAGGATGAATACTTAGTTTTTGTAGCTCAATTGTTTTTACCTTCTCTGTATACTGAGTTGAGATGCCTTTTTTTGTAGCTCAATTGTTTTATCTTCTCTGTATACTGAGTTGAGATGCCTTACTCTGAAATGCTGGTTTCTTGATGTGGCACAAGAACCATAATTGTTGTTCAGGTCATCCGCTTCCGTTTGATAGCTGCTCGTTAGACTCGGTAAATTCCACTTCCTGTGTAGAAGCTTTTTAGGGCATGAGATTATCTCACTCTATATGAAGAAGATGGTGTTTCAGTTTCTTTTGTAGCTCAATTGTTTTATCATCTCTGGATACTGAGTTGAGATGCCTTACTCTGAAATGCTGGTTTCTTGATGTGGCACAAGAACCATAATTGTTGTTCAGGTCATCGACTTCCATTTAATAGCTGCTCGTTAGACTCGGTAAATTTCATTTCAACGTGTGGGTGTAGGTAGGATGTGTAGAAGCTTTTTATTAGGGCATGAGATTACCTCACTCTATATGAAGAAGATGGTGTTTCAGTTTCTTTTGTAGCTCAGTTGTTTCGCCTTCTCTGTATATTGGGTTGAGATGACTTATTGGAAATTC